TCTAACATTAAATAAACAAACTATATATTGTTACTCTAACATTAGATAAACAAACTTGGTGTCACAGAAAGAACAGAATTAATGACGTCACCACTTACATAGGATATGTAGGGATATAAATAATTGAAAGATACAGAAAGAATAGAATTAAATAAAAATATATAATTAGAATAACAAATAGTTGTTTATTGTTCAAGCAGAGATATCTTTATCTATCTTTACTATTGTTAAGGAGAAATCACAAAATATGAACATAATTTTTTTGCTGGCAATAAAGGTTACATCAAAATTTGTTGTAAATGTACAACATATCATGTAGTTTTTACGCTAATGTGTACTGACGATAGTTAACCCTGATTTACCCCTGATCCATTTAATGAAGAAAGGTCCACTGGATCAATTTACCTCTGATCCATTTAATGAAGAAAGGTCCATTGGATCAATTTGCCCCTGATTAGTTTGATGAAGAAAGGTGCAATGGATCAATTTACTCCCGATCAGTTTGATGAAGAAAGGTCCAATGGATCAGTTTACCCCTGATCAATTTGATGAAGAAAAGTCCACCTTTCGAAAACGCTCTGGTTATTATTGGGTTTTGTATTTTTGTGTTAAATTGATTTTTTTGAACCTAAATCTCCAATCTAAACATATTTTTGTGCATGAATATTCTGCGTCGTAAAGGACTGTTTCATACCATTCCCTAAATCAATCAATTTTCAGCGACATCACACTAATCACATAACTCCAAATAATGTCAAAATGTAGTTCTGATACATTCCGTTCCACTGCTCCCGTAAATGTTGTCACGTGACTTACTGATTTGCGTATTTAAGTTGGCTTTAATATAAAGTACTTAACCCTTTGTACGTGTGCTATTGAACAAATACCCCCGAAAAATATACGTGAAGCCCATGTTTATACTAAAATTACAAGTAAAGAAACTTTTCTTAAATTAGTATTCCAGATTTTATAACAGGACACGTCTTCTGAGAGGTCGTCTAATGGAGCTATTGATAGGACACGTCTTCTGAGAGGTCGTCTAATGGAGCTATTGATAGGACACGTCTTCTGAGAGGTCGTCTAATGGAGCTATTGATAGGACACGTCTTCTGAGAGGTCGTCTAATGGAGCTATTGATTCATTTTGATTACAAAAGCCAATACCTTTAATTTACAATCAAAATCATTTCTGGCTGTACCAAGTATTACATGTTATCTAGTACCTCTAGAGATCTATGTTCCGGTTGTGTTAAACACTACATGTTATTTAATACCTTTAAGTCCTGGTTGTGTTAAGCTATACATGATATTTAGTACCTCTAGAGATCTATGTTCTGGTTGTGTTAAGCACTACATGTTATTTAATACCTCCAGAGATCTATGTTCTGGCTGTACCAAGTATTACATGTTATTTAGTACCTCTAGAGATCTATGTTCTGGTTGTGTTAAGCACTACATGTTATTTAATACCTCCAGAGATCTAACAAAATGAGGTTTTATGCTGTTTTTCAAATACATCTGAGATATCTTTGACGAATAAAAATTATTTAAAGTTTTTCAGATAATTATAACACTAAGTACTTGTTGTCTACAGCTCTTTATGTTATAGTTCTTTTACAATACGATACCTTTTAGTTTTTTTTATAACGCTGTAAGTTTTAGGCTATTTACATATGTGTATTTTCTGGTTATTTACAGCATTATATGATCTAATCATATACATCTGTGTATTTTCTGGTTATTTACAGCATTATATGATCTAATCATATACATCTGTTATTTCAGGCTAGAAACAACACTATACCATCTGACTACTTAATTTCTTCTAGTTTTTAAGTTTTATATAGATACAGTAATAAAGGTATTAGGACATTATATTCTGATTGATTTATTTAACGTGGCAGACAGGTAATGTTAGGTAGATGTTTATGGATGTATACTAAAATGTGTTCTTTGGTCAGCATTCTGAAACACCAAGCTTGAGCATAAGAAATTACCAACTAAACTTTTATTGGTAAAAGAACTAGAACATAAAGAGCTGTAAACAACAAGTACTTAGTGTTATAATTAACTATAACTTTTATTGTTGTACATAACCAAAACGTATAGTATTGTAAATAACCAGAAAGTATAGTTTAAACAAATACATAATGTTATAATTACCTATAACCTATATTGTTGTACATTACAAAGGTTTCCGAGCCACGTGTATCATTTGTTTCGTTACCTCCACAAAGATAGCTGAACTGTACGATTTGCAGGTCTATTGATAACTGATATAACATTATCTAGGAATTTAACCATACTTGGCCAGCTTATTCACATACTCGCGACCCAAGAACCCTCTGCCCATAACGGGTATCGAAACCCGGATTCTAGCGTTGTAAGCCCGCAGACATACCGCTGGGCCACTGGGGGGGGGGCTATTTACCTTGGTCAAACCTTGTTTGAATAATTTTGTTGGTTTGTTTGTAGTTAGTTAAGCACGAAGCTACACAATGGGCTAATCTGTGCTCTGTCCACCACGGGTATCGATAACCCGGATTCTAGCGTTGTAAGCCCGCAGACATAGCACTGGGCCACTGGGGGGGGGGGGCTATTTACCTTCGTCAAACCTAGTTAAAATAATTTTGCTGGTTTGTTTACATATTTTTGAGCTAACGAAGAAACTTCGAAATATTTTGAAAATTTATTTGTGATTCGGTTTTAGTTTGGTTGTCGTTAAGCACAAAGCTACACAATGGGGTATCTTTGTTTTGCCCACCACAGGTATCAAAACTCTATTTTTAGTGTCGTAAGCCTACAGGCTAACCGCTGAGCCATGGGGGGACATTATTCTTAAGAGTTTAGTTTCAAATACTATTCCATTTTAGGATTATTAATTTTTCATTGACTCTTTCCGTTTCTTTTTTTTTAAAGAATAAGCGTGATTGTTAGCACCAGCTGGATCTTAACATTTAATGAGACATTTCACTCTGCAAAGTTTCGTGTTTTTTATTGTTTTTTTTTACTCTCACTAAAAAACTGAGAGAAGACAGTAAACTATTTTCACAGAAGGATAAGCTCACACAGATCCTACTTCCAGCTTTAAAAACATTAAGGTCAAACACATGTTCAAAGAATCCTCTACAGCGAATATTATAAAAAACATTAGGTGATTGGAGGTTACTGATGGAACAATTTTTTTATATATATATATTTAGACGAGAGAGGTTTGTAAGAAATGTGACGTTATTTTAATTTACAATTTTCTTTGACACCTTTCATGATATTACTTTAGGTAAGCCTAATTTTATTCCCTTTTGTTGGGAATCTCTAGTTCTGCGTATTGTTGTTAATAGTACACCTTTGAGTAAATAAAATACTTATCTTAATTGTAATATAGGGTTTGTTTTTGGTGGTGAAGACAAGTTGTAGGTGGCGTTAAATTCGCTTTATTTTGTAGCAAAATAAGGCTGATAAAATATGAATGTAGATAAATGGGAGTTCTTGAATATTTATTTATCGTTGGCTTTAATGATTTTATCATTAGTGTTTTAGCTGTGTTTCTTCTTTAGATGTCTGGTTGTCTTCGGATGATTTTGATATTCAGTGCGATAAAAAGTTTAGAAAAAAACAAACTTTATACTCCTGACCACCTGGCCATGCCGGGCCTTAATATAGGGTTGCTTGGCATTTGTCTCACCAACAAGGTTAGTTAGGGTGCTCGACTTGTGGGGTCGAAACCCGTCACTGAACATGCTCGCCCTTTCAGTCGTGAGAGCGTTATAATGTGACTGTCAATCCCACTGTTCTGGGGTAAAGAGCAGCCCAAGAGTTGGCGGTGGGTGATGTTCACTAACTGCCTTCCCTCTAGTGTTTCAGTAAAAAAATTAGAGCCGGCTAGCGGAGATAGATCCCAAGTAGCTCCGCGTGAAATTCCATAAACATACTCCCGTGATGATTACACTGGAATGGGCGGTAACTGCTAGTTGTAGAAAAAAAGAGGATGACGTTTCCAGTGTACTCATCATGAATATTCTGTCTAAACAATCTATCAAAGAAAACTTACTTCCACTTCTCCTTTTATGACTGTTTTGATTTTTCCTCTTTTTTTTGCTATTGAATGCTTGCTCTCACATTTCTTTCTTTCGTTTTGCTATTGGACGTTTCGGTTCTTTTCACTCTTCCATTTCTCTGTTTCGTTCTCTCCATTTTTTTGAATTTTTGGTCTTACTTTCATTTTTCGTTGTGTTTCCTCTCTTCTCCTCCTCTTCAGTTGCCCGGCATGGCCAGGTAGTTAGGGCGCTCGACTAGCAAGCTGCGGGTTCGAATCCCTGTCCCACCAAACATGCTAGCTTTTTCAGCGATGTGGGCGTTATAATGTTACGGTCAATCCCACTACTCTCTGGTAAAATAGTAGCCCAAGGGTTGGCGGTGGGTGTTGATGACTAGCTACCTTCCCGCTAGTCTTACACTGCTAAATTACGGACGGCTAATACAGATAGCCCTCGTGCAGCTATGCGCGAAATTCAAACGAACAAGAAATCACAAGGAACATAGAAACATGTAGAAATTGTATTAGGGGGCTCTGTTAAGTGAATAGAATGGAGCACGGCGCATGCGCTTTTGAGTGTGGCTTACACACTGATGAATAAAAGTACGCATGACGTTCCAGTGCGCGTGACTGCGGCTCCGCGGGCTGTTGATTCCATACATAATAACAAGGTGATCAGTCTGGAAGTCTATCTCTTCTTACGTGTTTAGTTATTTCTCCATACGAAAGTTAAAAAAAGAAGGGGGGTTCAAATGCTAGAAAATAGTAAATATACAACTGGATGTTAGCAAGGAATGGATAGACGGCGTAGAAGATAAAATCGTAAAGTAAAACAGTTGATAAGGATTGATGAACAAAGGATGGAAAGCCTTGGATTGAGATAATTTAACGAATTATACTGGCACGGTACTTTAATACTGTAGTTATCTCTATAAGATATTTAACTTTATAATCTCACAAAAAAAATGGTGTATTTGAAGAAGGCGCAGGCCGTTAGGCTTGATAATCCATTACGTTCATGGTCAATCTTACTCTTAGCCACACTATCCACACCAATCATGGGACAAAACGAAGTGTCTGACCTCTCTGACCATGTGATCCGTGTGGCCGTACTCCTGCCTAACTCCAGCTACTACTTAGGCTCCATCCCGCGGGTAGGACCGGCCATCTCTTTGGCCGTACACGCGGTGGAAATCCGGGAGATGATTTCTGGATACCGCTGGGAGATTCTCTATTATGACACACACTGCATCCCCGCATACGGTCTTTTGTACGCTTTTAGAATATTTATTGAACAGCGGGTCCACGTCATCCTGGGCCCAGTCTGTGATTATGTCATTGCTCCCATAGCCCGACTTTTGAAGTTTTTCGATATTCCCATGTTGACCGCTGGCGGTCTGGCTTCGGACTATGGCCTCAAGAAATCTGAGTTTGACACAGAGTATTATCTCCTAACACGGACAGGCCTCTCGTTCGATGGCCTGGCGTCCTTCGTGGTCAACATTTTACAGCAGTTCAACTGGCAAAACGTTCTGATCATGTACGAAGCACTGGCCAGGTCTAAAGTGGCCAAAGAAGACTACTGTGTACTTTGGACAAAGGCTCTATTGTCCGAGCTTCGCCCGTTGGAGGATTTCACAGTCCGGCATTATAAACTGCAGAGTTACATGACTTTGACCACGGCTTCTGAAGTCTTGCGTGAAGAAACGGGGACAAGGCATGGCGGTAAGATGACAAATGTAACCATAGAGACAAACATTAAGTAGGTTTATCGATATTATATCAAAAGTCAAAGGTAAAACCTAGGGATATACCTACAGCTATAAACTGTAGAGATATAATATAATGGCTGGAGACGGCTTGTCGAAACGTTGTACATTTGCTGTTATGTTAAACTTATATTAAAGTTTTTCTTCATTACCCATTCAAGCCGTCTCTAACCATTATTAGTCTCAAAGTGGATTCCTCGTCACCGAAAGAGATATAATATGTTTAACCTAGCTCGTAAAAATATCTATAAGTATTTGAAACACGAGGGAACCCTCAATAGCTGCAGCTGTAATTAGATCTCAAATCGGTCAAGAGATGGGGCTATGAGCTAAAAGCTTGTATTTGAAAACAAACTCAGAGACATTCTATGAGCCGTTATGCCGCGGCTAAATATCAGACATTATATTTCTGATACCAAAGTGTATTCAATATTATGATTGGCAGATTAAAACACAAATTACATAATCGCACAAGCCGAACGATATTTCCATTATTCAGGTGTTATTCAGATCTATAGAACATTCTATTTTTGACCCTAGATGTAGGATCGTTATAAATTTACATAGAACTATATCACTAACAAATATAGGAGTTATCTGAATTACTTATATAAAACAAGTAAGCAAAACGACTTACTGACCGTGTGAGTCCTATGCGGTATAATACTACGTCTTTATCTCGTGTGGTTTTCACGTGTTTTAATACTGTGTCTGTTTCTCGTGTGATTTTCACGTGTTTTAATGTCAACTCTGTATTTCATGTCATTTTCACGTGTTTTAATACCGTGTCTGTTTCTCGTGTGATTTTCACGTGGTATAATACTACGTCTGTTTCTCTTGTGATTTTCACGCGTTTTAATACCGTGTCTGTTTCTCGTGTGATTTTCACGTAGTATAATACCATGTCTTTATCTCGTGTGGTTTTCACGTGTTTTAATACCGTGTCTGTTTTTCATGTGATTTTCACGTGGTATAATACCATGTCTTTACACATGTTTTAATACCGTGTCTGTTTTTTGTGTGATTTTCACGTGTTTTAATACTATGCCTGTTTCTCCGTGTGATTTTCACGTGTTTTAATACCATGTCTGTTTCTCGCGTTATGAGCTGGAGTTACATTACACTGATTACTTCTACGTATTTTACTTTCGATTAAATATGAACGAGTTACACCAGTACTGTTTAGCTTTGAATGTTTAAAACATAATTTATGAGACTACATTTACAAAGAATACTACTTTGTCCGGAAAAAAATATTGGAGATATTCATAACTGATTGGTTGCGTCCGTATACAACCACGATAACATTTGTTTGAACTTACTGGTTCATAACTGATTGGTTGCGTCCGTATACAACCACGATATCATTTGTTTGAACTTACTGGTTCATAACTGATTGGTTGCGTCCGTATACAACCACGATATCATTTGTTTGAACTTACTGGTTCATAACTGATTGGTTGCGTCCGTATACAACCACGATATCATTTGTTTGAACTTACTGGTTCATAACTGATTGGTTGCGTCCGTATACAACCACGATATCATTTGTTTGAACTTACTGTTAACATCTGGAA